ATAGAAAGTGCTATCCATACTCTTGAACATTGTTGTTATGCTGTGCTTCAGCAAGTTCAGTGCAGTCTTTACAGCCTCCTTGTGTCTTTTTCTCTCTAGCCACATCCTCAACTTGCCCCTGCAATCCAATCCACTATTGCAATCCTGTTTGGAGTACACTCTGCTTCCCTGTTGATATCTTTCTTTTTGTTTTGTTCTTTTCTTTTCTTTTTACTTTTTCTATGCTGTTTCCCCTTTCCTCTACGGATCTGACAGGCCTTACTTATCCTGTACACTTTCAACATCATTGCATTCATTCTGCCTTTTTCTCTTCCTTCTTCATCCTCTTTCATGTCGTCTTTGGCTCTTCGTGCTGCTGTTGATATCATGAGCTCTTCCTTCTCACTGCGTCTTAGTTTCTGTGTTTGTCCTTAAACAGCCCATGTTGCTCTGATGAACTTTCATTACTACAAGACTCTCTCACACATATTGTCTTTCTCTCCTCTGCCCCCTGCCCCCCAAAACAACTTTCATACGGGCTGATAAACAGCCTCAATTCCATGTGGGACTGTCCATTGAGCTGAACAAAATGTGCTTGACAGACAGTCGTTAGACATTTAAGCCCATGTATCTTATCCTGTAATGGGCCCTGCTGTTCATTGAGTCCAGGCCAAGATAAAAAGCACAGTTAGTGAAGCATCTTTTCAGTGTCAGAATTATCTGTAGGGTTTAACTTGTCTTTTTGCAGTGTATGGATGTAGTCACCAGAGAAATGACAGATTAGCTGTCCTCATTTCTCCTTCTCCTCTTTCTTGGAGACACACAAATGCAGTATTAGTAGACTCAGTGTGGTGTTCTTCTGGTGGAAAGAGCGTGGATGAGCCAAACCATCTGATTGACTGGAATGTAATGGCCATTGGCTCGCTTTGGCCACATATATGGAGTTAATGACATTCTGAAAGACGGAAAAGACTTTTGGTATTTCTGTTCTGGCTTAGATGAAGCTTTCCTAGATAAAAGTCCATGGTAGCATCAGTTTCAGATTTTAGAAAAACTTTGATCTCTTTCCATGACAGTCTCTTCCATCCATTAGTGCCAGTTGCACAGAGCTTTCAAACTGGTCATGAAATAGCCGTTATCATTTGCTTATTCACCATGGTAAAATGAATGAATAAATGTACGAATATATCTACACAAAGCAAATGTATTCGAAAGGAAAGCATAGTAGGTTTTCTATGTCTAAATAATGTAAATAATTATGTAATAATTATAAAAAATATATTTCTAATAAAATTATTTATAACCACCCGTTTTACAGAAATAGTTTTTAAAGAGTAACAATTCAGTGATGTATCTAAACGTTTATTTTGTTTTGTTTTTACATTTTTATCATTATATGGCAATATGGCATTTGCTCTTAAAAAATGTTACATTTTTTGAAGAAAAAAAAAAAGCCATTTTTCATCAGCATTCTGGGTAAAGATGAGCTTTATGTGAACCAGATTAAAAGGATTAGTTTCCTGATAATTTTCTCACCCCCATGTCATCCAAGATGTTCATGTCTTTCTTTCTTCAGTCTCAAAGACATTAAAGCCTCTTTCACACAGAAATGTGTCCTGGGATTTGTCCCGGGATCGTTTGATTGTGGTTCATTCACACTGCCAATGATTTTCCGGAATCTGTGTGTGCGTTCACACACATCCCGTAAAGACACGTGACATTACTATGTGACGTGTAATGTGACTCGTTCGGTTTCATTTAAGCTGGCGAACAATCTCAGCTTCAGCGCGGATAGTGAGGAGCTACCCGATCTCTGCTTCATTACAGTTTGCACATATATTTTTGTCGCGAACATTGATCTGCCTTCAAAACACGATAACGTGCGTCATCATTACGACACACCTTTTACGGCATTGGTTCTGGCTTTTGTTCACACAGAGCTCGTTCCGGGACTGAACCCGGCAATGTTACTAGGTCCCCAACCCGGGATCGATCCCGGAATCAATCCCGGTACGTGTTTGCGTTCACACAGAAGGCACTCCGGCAATTTTCTAGCAATTTTCCGGGACCAACGTGCAGTGTGAAAGTATAATGGACTTCAATGGGGACCAACGTGTTGAAGGTCCAAATTGCAGTTTCAGTGCAGCTTCAAAGGGCTCTACACGATCCCAGCCAAGGAACTAGCTCGACTTCATGCATTACACAGTCACATTGGAAAGGTCACATGTGAGGTAGGCGGAAATACTGACCCAGTGTTTGCAAAGCGAATGTGCAAAGAAAGTCAAACGCCCTTTACAAAAAAAAGGTAAAACGACGATTTTGAAGTTGGAGGAGAAAATTAGATGGGGGTTTTTCTCCCTATCCTACCTTTCTGAACCGGAGTACACAGACGAAGAACTAACCACGCGTGACCTTTCCAATGTGATTGCATAATGTGTGAAGTCATAGACGCGCATCGCAGAGCTAGTGCAAGATGAGCATTTTTGGTTAAAAGTATATACATTTTTCTTTTTTTTGAAAATGACATCATTTCGCTAGATAAGACCGTTATTCTTTGGCTGGGATCGTGTAGAGCCTTTGAAGCTGCACTGAAACTGGAATTTGGACTTTCAACCCCTTGATCCCCATTGAAATCCACTATATGGAGAAAAATCCTGGAATGTTTTCCTCAAAAACCTTCTTTTTTTTTTCAACTAAAGAAAGAAATGAACATATTGGATGACGTGGGGGTGAGTAAATTATAAGGACATTTTTATTCTGGAAGTGATCTTATCCTTTAAAGCCTGTAGTCAAAAGTATGACTTGTGAGACTAGGTTGTTTCAGGCTAGGTTTTAAGGACACATCTATTTTTGTCTGTTCAAAGACACTGAAAAACGCTCACATGACACACTTTGAGTCAGTTTTAGGTAATGCATTTTAGACCGTTTTGTGTGCTTATGTTGTAATATATTATTGATCTTCCACCTCATATGTCTACTGTGCATGTAGTTAGTTAGTGTTGTATCTGAAATGTTTTGTTGACTCTTGATGGTAAATGTCCTTGATTGTAATGTCCTTACAGTCTGGTGTTATTGGCTTACAGCGGTTTGTGTCAGTCCTCATTTCTTTTAGTCCCTGCTGAATGAGGGAAGCCCTCGCTCTTGGCTTCATTTTTAACACATACACACAAACACAGAACAGTCAGAGGTCATCCACACCAGCCCAAATCCAAGACCACTCATTCTCAGCATGCACGCCCATTCCTGTGTCTCTGTGGGTGTTTTTATGTCCCAGCACTCAAGCGTTGTGCATGTATGCGTGTAAGCGTGGCTGATGGTGTGGTGTTAATGCAGTTCACTGCTGGATCTGTAAGGAAGTGAGTGGGGAGAGCATTGTTGTTTTCTCTGAATAAAGCACACACTGAGTGATGGCAGGAGTAGAGGGAGAAAGTCATTAGACAGGAGACACGGAGAGAGAGGCAGAGAGAGGATGGATCCATGCAAAGAGGGCAGGAAAGAATAGGAGGTCTGGGGAAATGTGCTTTAATGACCTCTTGAGTGTCCAGCTGCTCACACACACACACACACGCTAAAGGCTAAGCAATCAAATATTGACAGTATATTCAAGAGGATTTTGTTGCCAATATAAAACTAAGCAACATCATGAATATAGCTGGTTTTAATGTGTTTTATTTTCCCATTAAGTTTCCTAAAGACTAGTTTCTCAAAGGTTTTAATAGGGTCTCTGATTTAAAAAATGTATCAAACCTTTGGTTCAACACTGATTTAATGATTTTACACTCAAAAATGTTTATAGAAGTCTCTGTGTTGCATTTCTTCATATATTAAAACAAATAAGCTACAATATTTTACTATAAAATTATATATTAAAATAATATTTATTTATTTATTGTTTAAACTTGGAATAAACACAGTTTAGGGATTTTTATCCTAAAGAAGTATTTATCATTATGATGAAGAAGAAATATTGCACTATTTCTAGGTCACTAATCAAATAAAGTATAATTTATTACAATAAAAAAATGTATATTACATTAACAGTTATGTATTTATTAATTAATTAATTTCATTATTTTTTTCTAGGTCACACAGCAAATATGTAGAGGTCTAAAAGTATTTAAATTGTTTATTGTTATTTAATTTAATGTATTTAATATTCTTGTCTTTTATTTAATAATTTTCCAGCCCAAACACACACACACACACACAGAGGATCGAGTGGTGAGCGATCATGTGAGAGTATATCCACAGGGAGAGCAGCTGAAGTGGCTTCTATTTTATGCTCTGCTCTTGAGAGACACAGTACAGTCTCTTTCTTGGCCGATATTCAACTAATGGTCTTCAGATTCTCTAGCCGTCGGTGTTGCCAAAAGCTTTAACAGCGATGCATTCTCTCTGCTGCAGCTGAGCTAAGAGTTTGACCTTATGACTCAATCATAGACAACTACATATTCATGGTGCTGCATTGCTCTACAATGCCTACATTGAGTCTGTGTGTGTAAGAGAGAGAATTGACTGGATGTTAATGGCGTCATCATCCACTAAATGACTGAGTAAGGCTCTTGTGGGTGTGCATATGCGTCTCTTAGACTGTGAATAGTCTGCATTGTATGCGATTAACTGCACTCCACCAGGACCTAGAATGTCGCACTTTATTAGACTTGGCCATGCATGCTGTATGCTTAAATTGACTCTCTGAGATGCCTAATACACTGTAAACCGTATTGTGTGTGTCTCCATAAACATGCATGCATTAAAATGGCATCTGTGTATGTGTACTTGAGGGGGGGGTGGAGGGTGGGATATGACCTTCTGTTGTTTTTGTGTTTTGAAGTATGTCATATAAGAGGCCTATTTATTTTTCCTAACGATAACAGCTGGTGCTGTCTGAAATGTGTTCCTCCTAAATAAATGGTGTTTGTTTAAACTAACAGCATAAGAAAGGGACCATAAAATGCTTTCACTTCACATTCAACAAGAAGTTCTTTAGTGCCCTTATTATGTTTTGATTTCTTTTGTAGCAAACAAGCGGAGGAGTCTATATAACAGTTCCTACAGTCCTCAAGTGGGCTACGGAAGCCCGTACTGCACAAACACAGCAAACAGTCCCTATAGCAGTGGCTTCAACTCCCCGTCCTCCACTCCATCTAGAGTGCCTATCGTCAAGCAGCTCGTTCTGCCTGGCAGTGCAGGTAAAGTCCTCTTTACTCCAGATGTGGAGTAAGAAGTAGTTGAGGAATATATTACATACTACAAACAATCATGTCACTCACAGATGACGGAAAAGTGTGAGACTGCTGAAGTTGTTTATTAATTTGCAGTTGGGGAATGTTATTTTTATAGGTAGCAAGTCACTAATCATGAAAGTAACCATGTTACATCATTACGTGGTATGAAAAGTAACATATTTGTTACTTCTGTGTTAAAAACTGCACTTTTCTCACCGTTGTTTGGCTGAAAGCTCTTAAAATCTAGTGAATGATAGAATATTTTCTGTTAACGTAACCACTGAATATGCTGTCCAGTATGCAGTAAGTAGTAGGCTAATATTTATTCCTAACATAGCTAATATGACTTAAGCAGAAAACAAACAACTGTCTAGTGTTTTTTTAGTAGATCTTCCTATGAATAACTATATTAAAAAAAATGTCATTTTTATTTTGGCATATATTAATGTAATTAATTTTGTTGTTGTTGTTGTTGTGTGTGTGTAGGTCACCAGCGTGGATCAGCTGACAGAAACGCACAGGCAGTGAGCCCACAGTCATCAGTAGACAGTGAGTTGAGCACATCAGAGATGGATGAAGACTCTGTTGGTTCATCGACCACATATAAACTCAATGACGTCACAGACGTGCAGATTCTCGCCCGCATGCAAGAGGAGAGTGAGTGGTCTTTTCTCTAACAAGTGTTGGATATTGTTAGAAAAGTTATTGTTATACATTTGGTTATCATGCTGCTGAAACGGATCATAAACAATCTTAAATGTGAATAAAAAAATGCCTAAATGGCATTGAGATTTAAATTCACTGAAATTTAAATTCAAATGTATATGTTTCCCTCTTTTAGGTTTAAGGCAAGAATATGCTGCAACAGCGTCACGTCGTAGCTCTGGTTCATCATGTCAGTCATTGCGACGAGGAACTCTGAGTGACCAGGAGCTGGATGCACAGAGCCTGGAGGATGATGAGGAGGCGGTCCACCATTCCTACCACACACCTGTCAACCGTTTCAGCCCCTCCCCTCGGCACTCACCCCGCGTCTCCCCCAGGAACTCGCCCCGATCCCGCTCACCCACCCACTCTTTAGAGTACAGCCGCGGATCTCCCCAACCAATCATCAGCCGCCTTCAGCAGCCCCGCCACTCTCTGCAAGGCCATGATACGCAGACCAACGCCATTAAGAATGAAGGTAGATCTTCTTCCAGTCTCATTTCACTTGGGCTATTTCTCTTTAAAACAATGTCAGTTTAAATGTGGGTTTCTTCATCCTCTCTGTTTTTGTGTGCAGAAAAGCTGAGACGGAGTCTACCGAACCTCACACGATCCAGCTCTGGACCGACTGCAGAGCCAGTTAAAAACAGCAGGAGCTGTGAGTCAAACTTGCAAGTGCCAAACGGAGGATCACCCAGACACCAGAGTCAGTCTGCCAGTGAGTGTCCGGACACATCAGTGAGCATGCATGCACCCATACATCAAATCACACGTTTAGAGCTTTTAACAGCCAGCAAACACACAATCTCTGACTCAAACTCACCACACAAAAAGACTTCATTGCATTTCATGATGTAAAATTTATCATGACTGTTATTCTGTTTGTAAATCTTGATGTATGGTAACATTTGACTTTTTATGAATATGCTCTTCTTGGTTGTGGATTCTGTGCTTCTGACACACATTCATGCTGTGCTCTTAACTGCACTGCCAGTGTATTGGCTTGCTAGATGAGGCTCTTTGATCTTCTCACATTTTCTCTTAGATCACATTTTATTGGCATCTTGACCTTTCCTATAAAAGCCTGACTGACTTTCAAACATAGTTTAAACTATTATTCGGGGTGATTTTTTTAAAAATGTTTTAGGGAAATCTTCAGATGATGGATCTTGAAAGAGTGTTTAATGTAGCACAGGAACACTAAAGATTTGTCATTTTATTTGTAGGATAAAACAGTTCAGATTATAGTAATCATATGCCATTACACCCATGTGAGCAATCACATTTAATAGCCTTACTGAAAAAAGCATAGGTGTCATTTTTGCCATGGCTGATTTTGTCACTGTACTTTTATGAAATAGCTTTCAGCAGGGATGTATATACAATAGGGAGCATCTCCAATTCTTGAGCAGAAGTTTTGATCTGGCATAGTATATAACATAGTAAATGTTATCTAGCGTAATGATCCAGTGCTAAAAATTTTTATTATTATTATAAATGTATTTATTTTTTTAATGTTGAGTGGTCATTACCACAATGGTTGTCATTAGTGGCAATAAGCAACAACAGCAATGTTCCAGCACACAACTATTAGAATCTTTTTCAGAACCCGTTCTGATTTTAACACGAGCATTCTGTTGGTAATGCTGACTTCACAAAGTTGTCAACACTGAGGAATAAAATCTGATTCCCAAACGAATGACTCTTGTGAGTCAGTTCTTTTTAGGAAATCAAAACCATAGAGCATGACCAGTGTAGTACAAATGATTCCCAAAATGAATGACTCTTTTAAAGCCACACATACGACAGTATACTATTAAGGTGCAGTCACAGGAAATTTCATCAAAATTTTGCAGACAAGAGTCTGCAGTCTATAGTGTAGTGATGTATGGAAAACACAGAAGTCACTTTCAAAACAAGCAACGTTCTATTGGTTACTGCAGTGAATTTGCGTGAACTTGAACCCAATGCAAAATCGGTATGGGGAAATCTTTCACCCTCAATCGAAATTCGCATATGTGTGGAATCCTATTGAGATAACTCAGTTTTAACTGAAAATTCACTGAACAACATTAAATATGACCGTAACTTTATGTTGGACTTCAGGTGCCTGAGACTTGAATCTTTGTAGTTACTGGCAGGTTTTTTGTGTTACTGGTATGGTTATTTAAAGAGTTAGTTCACCCAAAAATGAAAATCCTGTCATTAATTACTCACCCTCGTGTCGTTTCAAACCCGTAAGACCTTCGTTCATCTTCGGAACACAAATTAAGATATTTTTGATGGAATCTGAGAGCTGTCTGACCCTGCATAGACAGCAACGCAACTGAAATGTTCCCAAGTCCAGAAATGTAGCAAGGAGATCTGTAAAATAATCCATGTGACATCAGTGGTTCATCCGCAATTATGCGAAGCTACGAGAATACTTTTTGTGCACAAAAGAAAAAATATATATATAACAATTCGTCTCCTCCGCATCACCCTAGTACCATTTTGGAGAATATCAGCTGGACGTAAACAACGTATGCTGATCTGTGTCAGCTGCGTCACGCCGGATCTGTTTCCTACGTTGTTGCGCTTTGATTTGAATGAAAACAACATATCCTTGTTGTTGAGGGTGAGTAATTCATGACAGAATTTTCATTTTTGGGTGAATTAACCCTTTAATATATATATATATATATAAGATTATTGAATTGCATTTATGCCACCTGAAAATTGCATTTTTCCAAATAATTATTATTAATTATTAATAATTATTTATTAAAACAGATTGTTACATTTTTTTGGTGTGTAAATTAATATTCATAAACTGACCCATTTACCATTTCATGACATGACAACCAGCACAAAAGTGAAAAGTCCAGCTCACCACTTTTAAGAACAGTGACGCCCATGAAAGAAGAACATTTCATGACAGCATACTGTATCATTTTATCCATGCGAGGTCAACGTATAAGGCCCAGAATTCTCTCTGTCAATGAAGTTAATCTGATGAAACTCTCAAAACAGGAGTGGAGTCGCTCTGTAATCCTTGTATACAAATATTTAATAAGTTAATTAATAATATTCTGTATTTTAGTGACCATAGATAAACAGCCATCTCTTAAACAGCACAAAGACATTAGCTTGCTTGAGTGATTTTACATACTTGAATGTAGCGAGTATTTCAGGCTTCTCCCCCTCATTTGGTAATATGGACAGTCTGGTTTTATTTCTGTCCTTCCTGCCCAGCATGCTCTGCCTCTTCCCTTCTCTCTCCGCCTTTGTTTCTTCCTCACACCCTTTGTTTTTGGCTGAGGTGCTGGTTGTCTGGATGTAGTTGGATTCACTCCTTGCGTAGTGCTGCCTCCTGCCTGTTCCTCACCCGGGGTTTCATTTTTCTCTTGGCTGTGGTGCCCTCTGGTGGCTGGTTAGAAGTGGTCTTCTGTCTCACCCATGCATGGAATGGCTCTGCCTTGAATTAATAAACCTGACCCTAGCTGGCTGTCTTTGCCTTGGCATCACCTAAACTTTTTGGTTAAAGCTGATTTTGAATCAGCTCTGGTTGGAGGTTAAGTGCCTGCAGGTGGAGGTGGACTGCTGAGCTCAAATGAGCCTGAATCAAAACGTAATGTCTGCTTGTCTCTTATCTCAGCGTCACACCAAAGGCTCTCCGCACCTGCTCGTTCCTCCCCAAAACCAAAAGAGAGACTCCAGAGCCCTACGTCTCTACGAGGTAATGCACTGAGCAGGTCACCCAGACTCAGTCATGATAGTAGATTGTCCTGGAAGTGTTTTATGGCATTTTGACACTTTTATAAACCCATTGTTAGAGTACTGTTTGGTTGGTGTGGAAGCTGTTTACTGACCTCAGATAAGAAATCATACCCAGGTCTTCTTGAAAAGAGGGGTATGGGTTGTGGTTCAAAAATGAGCTCAAGAGTGATTGCTAGTGTTGGGTCGTTATTGAACAATTCGTTCATTTTGAATTAATCTTTAATGTGACTCGGGAAGAACGAGTCGTCTCGGGGAGTGATTCGTTCAGTCGCGCATGCGCAACATCCTATAGGTTCTGTACTGGAATTAGTCATCATTTTGCTGAACGAGACTCAAAGGTCCGAGTCGGTAAAATGATCCGAACTTCCCATCACTAGTGATTGCCCAATTATTATTATTATTATTATTTTATTAATTCATTATTATTATTATTTATTAAAAAATTTTACAAAAAAATATATTATTGCATACCAACCTGGTAGGTCTGGGAAATGTTATATAAATGGGATTTTTAATTCTGAAACACTTTTTCTGCTCTCCTTTGGTGTGAAAGCAGTCAAGCCTAAAATGCAGAATTTAACCACTATTGTTGAGAATGTATCATTTTCTCACGAATAATAAATTAACAATAATATTAATGATAAACATTTATATTTATATAGTTTTTCAATTGTTATATTGTTTTTTAGTCTAATGGCCATTTAGTTATTGTCAAACTAATTAAAAACAGGTCCATTGGTTATTGGTCACTAATATTTATTGGCCTTAAATAGGCAATGTCTGTTGGTCCAAAAAAAAAAAAAATTGTGCAGATTGATTTTTGTGTTGTATATTGATCTGGAGTGGCTTTTGAGAATAGTTTGTTCACCTGTGGTTGTGAAATGCTGCTGTTTCTTTGCAGTGTTATAGGATGAGCGATGCTGTAGGTTGCTGTGGGTCTGCCCCCTTTTGGTACAAATGTGCCATGTCTTCTTTTACTTTTTTTTTATTAAATGGAACTGCTTAAACGTTGTCACCTAACCAAATGTTCCAGTAGTCTCTGAAGCCATCTGACTAATTCCAATTATTTATTTAATGCACTTTGGTTGCATTAAATAAAAGTCTGTCAGTCATACTTGCACTTTAAAAAGAAATATAGTCCTGAGAAATTTGACAGCTTTTGGAGCGGATACAAACCCAACCCTCTCTTTTCCATCTTTTACCCAGTCCCTCTCTCGTGTTGCTTTGGTGAGGAAACAGATTTCAGTGAGTATATACACTGATGATGATGCAGCTTTTCAGTGCTGTGATATTTTATGTTGTGCAAGCGTGCGTGAATGGTAGATTGTGTTTGTGCTGTGGTTGTGCTGTTACCCGTTTTGCAACAAGGGGGCATTTGTATAACTAGTAGTTTTGAAAATGTTTGTAAACACTAGTTGATCAAGACTGTTTAAATCCATCCATCCATTCTTACTGTGCTTTATTTTCTATCAGCTTTGTGTTGAATGTCATTAATGCTAGTGTTGTGCTCTGTGAATGTGGAAAACGGTCCTCTGCGTGTTACATAGGAGCGTTTATTTAATTGTGGTGATGTTTAATGTGTAGCTTAATGAATTAGAGTTGTCTAATTGCATTCTTTTGGTTTTTAGGGTTGCATCCATCTTAATTCATTGTTATTTGTCATTATAATCCCATTACCATTAACTCATGACTGTGGTCCCATGAATGGCTTGTATCAGGTAGTAAATAGATAGAAGATAAACTACAGAATAGAAGCTCTGTCTTTTATTCAATCTATGTTTTACCTTTTATGAAATATCCAATATTTCAGTTCCTTTACATTCCATCTGTTGCTTTTATTCTTTTCCCTAATTCTATCTTTCCCACTTATCTTCCCTCTTTTTTTGTTTATTTCAGTGCCCTCCTCCAGTAAGTTGCGGACTCCCGCTGCCCCGTCTCCCTTGGCTCTCCGTCAGCCCATGAAGGTTATGTCCAACCATGGTTCAGGCACAGCCACGCCCACACGCTCTATGGCCCCGCCCCGCAGTGGCCTGCCCCGCCCCGCCGCCAATGCTGGAGAAGGTTTGCCAGTGCCTCGCAGCAAACTGGTCCAGCCTGTGCGCAGGTACTCTCAGGTTTTCACAACTCAATATAAACATCGTAACCTGGTGAAGTACATACTGATTACTGAGTGTATTATTTGCTCCACAGGTCTTTGCCAGCTCCAAGGACATACAGCGGTATCAGAGACGAGAGCTGGAGAGAGGGCTGCTACTGAGCGCACCCAGAACCAGCAGCACAAATGGGCTTTCAGTTCAAACTGGCACTTTATAGAGACACATCTTTAACCCCCACAAATAAAGAGACGCATTCTTCCAAACAAATGATTCTGTCCTCTTTCAGGTGACATTGCAGAACTCCCATCCCAGCAGGATAGATGTGGAAGGCAGGCTGGATGCCACAGAATGCCAAAGAACAACAACAACAACAACAACAAAAAAACAGACTGGGATTCTCCCTCACCTACCAAACAGCATCTGTACTGCAAATGGCTCCAAATCCACAATACTGCTTGCAAATCCCCGCAAAATCCACTATAGAAGAACATTAATAACTTGTTTTCTCTGTAACAACATTAGTAAAGGATCCCTTGTGAGCACATACAAATTGACCTTAACTTTTGGCTCAAGTAGGAAAGGTTTGTATGGCGACAGAGTCCGCGTGGCAATTGCATTCTGTCAGAATGTCTTTCATATCTATGTGACCTCTTATTTATTTGAAATCATTATTTAAAATATTTCTTTCAAAGAATATTCATACAGTATTTGGTCTTTATAAATATATATGTGTATGTTTACTAATCTTTATTTTTGAGCTTTTTATTTCTGAATGTCATTGTTAAACCTCAACTGCAAAGCTATGTTTCCAAAGCATTTGAAGTGTCTGAATAATGGACGTATTTCAGAGTCTTTGAACAAACATATTTAGATTGAACCCTCAGATTCGCAGCAGGATTGATGCTTTTGCTCATTTCGAAAGGAAACGGTCATGAGACACGGATCAGTGATAAGTTAAAGTCAAATTTCATGAATTGTGTTTGTATGTCCTAACTGGAAATTGGGACAAATCAATGAATATAAATGCCTGAGACTAACTTCATAAGGTGAACTGTTGTATCGTCAAATGTTGTTCATCGATTGATGTCCCAGTGATAATGTCTCGGTGGCAAGGGTCATAAAAAGATTTAGTTGTGTGGGTGAAGTGTAGTGCTTATGTACTATTAATTTAGGAAAATTCCTGGTCATGTTATTTATCGTCATTCTCGGAGTGAAATAATTGATAAAAGGCCAAGAATTAAAATGAATGGGAGTGCCACCTGAACATATGGAGATGACATTTTGCTGCAAACTAGCAAACGATTAAGACTCTGCAAGTTTGTTTAAAAATGAGTGCCTATAATTTATGAAATTATGTGATTGCTACAAATGTTTGTTTTTTTTATGGTTTGTGCCAATTGCTTTCTTTTGCCAATATTATTTACTTCAGGGTTCTTTGCATTTCTTGCTCAAGTTTAGATTTTTGTAATTGCTTTGATAACATTTATATTTGCTTTTTTGTAACAAAGGTATGTTATAAAAGCCCCTTGCTATTTATGACAAAATACTATGTGCTTAAATAGAGGCTTATTTATTAAACGGTGAGATGCCTCTGTGTGCTGAGATATAGTTAGTGGGATGCTTGAGCCTACAATGGTCATGAATACATGACATAAATATTTTGTGGATTGTTTTTTGGTAAAGACTTTTATATCTCCACAAACATGATGCTCAGTTTCCCCTGCGTTGAATCATTTCAAATAAAAGTTGAAAAAAGCTTTGTGGTCTGTCACTTATTTGTCTAATTTATTGACGTGCCAAAACTAAAGTAAACTTTAAACATTTTATAGCATTTGACTGTTGATCAGACATATTGTGGAAAATGTTGAGATTGCAACTGATTTTAGGCTGCAGTTGTCTGTCTTTATAATCTAATGTATTAAGAGATATTAAGTCAAAATTCAAAACTGGAAGTGTTCAGATATTTATCATTACCATAACATTATCTATAGTTTGTCAGTTTCATTATTTAATTTTTAGTTTTCTGTTAATTTATTATGTATGAGTGATAATAATGTGTGTTGGGAGCTCCAGAATTTTGTATTGTGTCAAAACTGTTCCTTTACAATTTTTAATGAATGTAAAAAAAAATTAAATCGATCTTTATTTGCAATGCAGATTGCAAACATGCACATACATGATCCATTATTCTAAGATCCAATATGGCGAGTTGTATTAAAAGTGTCCTCTCCCTCCTTTTAAAGATAAAAAAACACTTTTCATTTACTTTCATCTACTTATCTTCCAGATCATGCAGTTTCTCTTAGTCCGGCAGGCCTATTTCTTTGCGGGTGAGTGTTGCGATGACATGATCTTTCAGATTCTCTGGTGCAGTACATTTGGGCTCTGGTTGCAGGGACTCCATGGTCAGTTTTCTCCACAGGTACTCTATTTTAGCATCACAATGCCAAGGGTTAAAGATCAACTCCACCCAACTGGTATTGATATCTAATGTGTCACTGCCAGTGGGCAGAAACTGCAGCCTATTGTCACTGAGGTCAACGTACTCCCAAGCGTTTCAGCCCCTGGAATACAGTCGGTGGGAGACTATCTAATCTATTTTTCTGCAGGAAGATGTGAGTCAGGTTACCAGAGCAGCAAAAGGCTTTTTCATCCAGGGACTGGATTTTGTTTTGATCTACATTAAATCTCTCTTGAGCAGGGTGAGCAACTAAACACCCAACTGGAAGCTCTTCGAGTTTATTCTGCGAGAGGTGCAGAACCTTTAGGTGACTCAGACTTTGGCGTTGGGCCATTGGGAATTTCATAAGATGGTTTCCGGACAAGTCCAACCAAGTGATATTGCTGTTGTTGGGCAACCAGTCTGGGTGGATGCTGGAGATGCGGTTGTCTTTCAACACCAGGTTGAGAAGTGGAGCATGATGGAAAACATATGCAGGTATCTCTTGCAGTTCATTGTCTGAGCACAATTTGGATGATAAAAGAGTTAGAAAAAACTACAATGTGACCTGCTGCATCAAATTGGTGTAGTTTTGTCTTTTTGTTTCAGAGAAATAGAAAATGGCTTCCAAACAATTTTCAGATATTTTGATATTTGCTACATAAACTGAGACACAGTTAAGTAAAAATAAAAGCAAAAAGTTAACCAATTCTTAACAATATACTATTTTAACCATATGCTCCTTTCCAAATTTCGAACTAACGAGCGATGGACACCGAATGACTTCTGAGGTAAAGTCACGTGACATATTCACAAGCCGTTTTGTCTTTTTACGCGGTTTAAACATTATATGAGAAACGATGTAAGTTATGTTTGTAAGTTGTACTGTTTATCAACATACCATCTGATATCCATTAATGATTTTCGTTCTGTAACTAGTAAAAAGGAAGAGATTTTCGATTTTCGCTCAATTTGAACTGAAGCGATATTTCGCGCCACTAAAGCGCGTCAAAACGACATTCGTTGTTTGAATATTGCAATAAAAATTACATTATGTGAAAGCTTAGACTTTGTTTGATAAAAAAAGTACAATAAGATAAACACAAAACAGTAACATTTCATGGTATTGCCTTACAATAGCGTTTCCGCACAAATGGACACGTACAGCTACAAAATACATGTAGAGAATCTTAACATTTTGACACGGTGCTTTTATACACACACTCACCTGTGAGGTCTATAGTGTGCAGGTAATGAAGGCCCTTCAGAAGATCTGCTGCTAAACTGCTCAGTTTGTTGCCGGGCAGGTGTAGCTCCTCCAGCAGTGGGATGGCTGTCAGGTGCTGAGCGGTCCAAGTGATATTGCTGTTGTTGGGCAACCAGTCTGGGTGGATGCTGGAGATGCGGTTGTCTTTCAACACCAGGTTGAGAAGTGGAGCATGATGGAAAACATATGCAGGTATCTCTTGCAGTTCATTGTCTGAGCACAATTTGGATGATAAAAGAGTTAGAAAAAACTACAATGTGACCTGCTGCATCAAATTGGTGTAGTTTTGTCTTTTTGTTTCAGAGAAATAGAAAATGGCTTCCAAACAATTTTCAGATATTTTGATATTTGCTACATAAACTGAGACACAGTTAAGTAAAAATAAAAGCAAAAAGTTAACCAATTCTTAACAATATACTATTTTAACCATATGCTCCTTTCCAAATTTCGAACTAACGAGCGATGGACACCGAATGACTTCTGAGGTAAAGACACGTGACTAGCACGCTCTAGTTGGTGAACTGGATGGTTAAGGAGGTGGTGTTGCCCGGGAGACCGTCTCCAGGGAAAGAAGAGAGGTCAGCGTCAGGGCACACGACCTCAGTTGTTTTGGCGCTGAAGTGGCACGTGCATCGCATTGGACACGAGAGGGCGTCACGGCAACAGAAGACCACCGTCATCGCGAGCGCGTGCATGAGCCAGGAATTCATCTTCACGACTTTAAAAGATGTAAAACTTACATTATTTTTTCACATAAACTGTTCAGTTATTCCTAGCATAGAGTTTCCTTGTGTTTTTTTAGACGTACTCGGAACAAAAATAATTTCATGTATGTAACTACTACTAAGAATAAAACGAAGAAAAGTTAATCCTGTAAGAATTACAGAACATCAGACACTTTGATCTTCTGAGACAGACAATACACACACAGTGCAAATTAAATTACGAAGTCACTTGCAATCGCCACTTGCACTCTCCCATACCTGAGACGTCACTTGCAAGACACAAATGGTGCGTGTTGCCAATGGAGACAAGACGCTGTGGTAGTGATTAAATGATTAAAACTAATTTAGCACTATAACCTATAGGGTCCTGCAAGAAAAATACAAGACCCGCAAATCCGTGGCCACAGAACAGCAGAATATGAACGCAATGCACAAAGTCTCTCATTAAG